TTTAGGGTATGTACCTAACAGCAGAATTGCTAGAGTGTATGATAATATCCACCACCACCCCCTTTTTTTCTTTACTAGAAGTTTCTGCCATGCTTTGTATTAAAATAACACCTTATATMCCCTCAATTCAAAGTGTTTGGTAGTGCCTGGCACCTAGTGAGTGCTCAATACTTAGCCTTAGTTAAGCTTCCCTGATTTTGTCTGCCCCTTACCCTCTTAACTGTGGTAACAAAACAACCCAGCATATGCCTGTGAGCTAGGGTAGCCTGCAAACAACATGTACATCAAGAAAAGTATTAAGGCTGGGCATAGTGTCATACATCTGTAATCTCAGCCACTCAAGAAACTGAGGCAGGAGGATCACAAGTTTGAGGCCAGCCTGGGCAACTTAGCAAGACCCTGTCTCAAAACATAAAAGGGCTGGTGATATAGCTTACTGATAGAGCACCCCTGGGTTCAATTGCCAGTACGGCCAAAAAAAAAAAAAAAAAAAGTTCAGTAAGCTCTTAACTGACATATCCAGTTTAAGATAACAATATAACTTATTTAAGAATTCTTGGAACTTGTAAGGAGAAGCCTGTTTTAATTTTATGTTTCGTATTGTGTACAGCATAGGTAAGTGTAAAGGAAGAGAATCTCAATGGTATTTTATATGATCCTCTAGTATATTGATAATTTTTCTATTCCTGTGACAGATGACAGTTCGAGATGCTATCAATCAAGGTATGGATGAGGAACTGGAAAGAGATGAGAAGGTATTTCTTCTTGGGGAAGAAGTTGCCCAGTATGATGGGGCATACAAGGTAACCAAAATCAGTGAAAGTTATTCAGAACTGAAGTGGCCCTTCACCCCAAYGTGTGCTTAAAAGTAATGGGTTCATCTCTTAATTGTAGGTTAGCCGAGGCCTGTGGAAGAAATACGGAGACAAAAGGATTATAGATACTCCCATATCTGAGGTAAGCCCTCCTATAGGAAGTTGATCTTTGAAGAGCATATCTATCRGTGTTTGCAATCCTGATTTTTTAGATCTTTGTCTTAGGCTTGTGTTTTACTTTACAGATGGGCTTTGCTGGAATTGCTGTCGGTGCAGCTATGGTATGTAATAAGCTTATCCAAAGAGACTTCTTTTAATAGGATCTTTTAAAAACATTGCATGTTGGAGGAAGGGAGAGGTTGTTTGCCACTCTTCATTGCTGTTTCTATTCTTTTTTAACATCAATGTTTTTGATTTGACAGGCTGGTTTGCGACCCATTTGTGAATTTATGACCTTTAATTTCTCCATGCAAGCCATTGACCAGGTTATAAATTCAGCTGCCAAGACCTACTATATGTCAGGGGGCCTCCAGTGTGTGCCCATAGTCTTCAGGGGGCCCAATGGTGCCTCAGCAGGTGTAGCTGCCCAGCACTCACAGTGCTTTGCTGCGTGGTATGGGCACTGCCCAGGCTTGAAGGTGGTCAGCCCCTGGAATGCAGAAGATGCGAAAGGACTCATCAAATCAGCCATTCGAGATAACAATCCAGGTCAGCAGAGTGACCCCTGTGTCTCTTTTGAACTTTAAAAAAAGAAAATGAAAGCTGGGGGCAGTGGCACACACCTGAAATCCTAATGACTTGGGAGGCTGAAGCAGGAGGGTTGCAATTTGCAGGCTAGCCTCAGAGACATAGTATAGCTTTAAGCAACTTAGTGAGTCTCTTTCTCAAGATAAAAAAAAAAATTGAAAAGGTTGGGATATAGTTCAGTGGTGCGGTACCCTTGGGTTAATTCCCCAGTGTGAAAAAAACTAAAAACTCCTTGCATCGAAGGAATCATTAAAGGCCTCTACTTAGGATTAGATGTATCATATCAAATACTAATGATTTATAGATAATAGATATGGTAAAGATAGTAAAGAATGTGGTTGTTTTTTTAGTTCCAACTAAAATGGGAGCAGTTAGGTAAAGGTGACATTTACTGCACACTCCACAACACTGTCTTAACCGCAACAGATAAAATTATATTGACCATGGGGCTGGGGATGTGGCTCAAGTGGTARCGCGCTCGCCTGGCATGCATGCGGCCCGGGTTTGATCCTCAGCACCACATACAAACAAAGATATTGTGTCCGCCGAAAACTAAAAAATAAATATTAAAAAATTCTCATTCTCTCTCTCTCTCTCTCTTTAAAAAAAAAAAAATTATATTGACCAAACTACAACTGTAACGACATAGACCATCCTTAAGTTATTGGACATATAGAAACAAGGCTTCCTAATAAACAGTGAAACTTTTCACATGATAAATGATGTTGTCCATGCATTTTTAGTCATTATGTAGTTAGTTAATTTTTGCTTAAATATTTATATTTTGCAGTGGTGGTACTAGAGAATGAATTGATGTACGGAGTTCCTTTTGAATTTCCTACAGAAGCTCAATCAAAAGATTTTCTGATTCCTATCGGAAAAGCCAAAGTAGAAAGGCAAGGTAAGACTATGCATTTAGTATACATTTAAACATTATTTTTAATCCAGCCCCTCTTATTTTTTTTAAGTCAAATGAAGTCTAGAAGGTATTGTCATGTATTTTGATTAAAAAAGTAAAGGTGAGGTTAGGTTAAGAATGTGTGGAGCTGGGGATGTAGCTTGGTCGTGGAGCACTTGCCTAGCCCGCACAAGGCCCTGGGTTCATTATCCAGTACCACAAAGGGGGGAAAAGGTATGATGTGTGATGCCTGATTTTTCATACAGTTATGCTTCTCAAATCTCAGTCCAGTAGGTGTGTATTTCATTTTTAGGAAGGCGGCCACATTCCTTGGCTCACTGGAATGAAATTGAGGACTTGACAGATGAACAAGAGCCACAGCTGACTGCAGACTGGTACCGCATCTTTATTCTCAACCTGACCTCTGACCTGTGACCATTCTGTTTCAGGGACACATATAACGGTGGTTTCCCACTCCAGACCTGTGGGCCACTGCTTAGAAGCTGCTACAGTGCTATCTAAAGAGGGAATTGAATGTGAGGTGAGTGGACATTCATTTGCTCTTAAGAAATCAGAAAGCCTCTTTAAATATGAGACCTAGAAATGGGAGTTTGAGTTCTGTAATAGGTTAGTTGGTTGTAAAATCTTGCTTTGCCACTTAGTTCTGTCTCTCCTTAGAGCTAAGAACCAGCTTGCTTATCACATAACTTAGCTTTTTACCACTCAGGTTCTAGATGTTTTAGAATAGTACTTGCTTTCTCAAGACTTAGCCTTTGGGGCTGGGCTTAGGCACAAACTCAGAAGTTAATGATTCTAACTTTCTCTGTAGGACCTGTGCTTACTATTTGCACTTGGGCAAGATACATACTCCACTTCTCATCAGCTATAAAATGAGGATAATGTAAATACTACTCCATCGTGGGATGGCTGTGAGCATTACACTGAGTGTAGGGCCTGGTGCATGCTAAGCTCTCAGTGCAAGTTGGCTATTATTTATTTTGCCAAGATAGAAGTTAGAGTTGAGGAGGACAAATGAATTTATTGTGAACAGAGCTGCTAAGAGAAGAGATTTTTGCTTTAATTACAATTTTCCTTTTACATTTTGTACATTCATTAACAAGAAACAAAAAAGGAAGTGGTATTATAGGGTCCAGGCTATCTTTGTGCTGCAGTGCTTCCATAAAGCATATTTGTTATACTGTCTGTTTAGGTGATAAATATGCGTACCATCAGACCAATGGACATTGACACCATAGAAGCCAGTGTCATGAAGACAAATCATCTCATAACTGTGGAAGGAGGCTGGCCACAATTTGGAGTAGGAGCTGAAATTTGTGCCAGGATCATGGAAGGTATTTCAGAGAAACTGGTTCTAGAATGTTAGTCAAGCTATAATAAAATTAAAGCCTTAATTCGTACGGGATAAAGAAAGAAAAAAAAAAAAACTAGGGATGGCCAAAAGACTTGGTGATTCAATTTGTCATTTTGGCATTTTTTCCTTTGGGTAAGTGTTTTTAAAAGCAAAGCCAGAAACAGTTCCCCACAACTAGAAATTCTTCACCTATGTTTTCTTTTCCTGGGTAACCACATCTCTGTGTTAAAGTGAGTGGTAGTCAGTTGGCTTCTGTCGCCTCTCTCTCAGGAAAGCCTGCCTTCTCTCCTAGGCCCTGCATTCAATTTCCTGGATGCTCCTGCTGTTCGAGTCACTGGTGCTGACGTCCCTATGCCTTATGCAAAGATTCTAGAAGACAACTCTGTACCTCAGGTCAAGGACATCATATTTGCCATAAAGAAAACATTAAATATTTAGTTTGTACATGAGTATCAAGTCACTGAAATTTACTTAAAATACTTGCTGGGACTTCACATGGATTGTACTGTAAGACCTTACAATTCAAAAAGTTCTCTCTRAGGCAGCAACAGGTGTTTTGTACTGGTGGGATGTTTGAATGTGTCTGAGTGGGGAAGACGCCACTCTTCTGCCCTAGACTCCATGCTTTCACTGTCTGTTACGGTTGTCCTGTTCTTTGAATGCATTAATGTAAAATTTTACCTCTTTTGCTAGAAGGACAAGGTATGAATGTGGCATAGTACTGATGAAAGTTATATCCAAAAAAGATAACTTATATGTATAAATAAAGTGTATAATCTACATTTACTGTTTGATTGTTTTGATAAGGAATAAAGGAATTCCTGATTATATTTTTTATATTCATGAAATGATCAATGTGGGTGGAAATTTCAAAATTCGTTATGAAATTAGCCAGGCATATTGCATTGCCTATTATCCCAGCAACCCAGGAGGCAGAATCAGGAGGATAGCAAGTTTGAGACCAGCCTCAGCAGCTTGAACCTTAAGCAACTTTGTGAGATCATGTCTGAAAATTAAAAATAAATAAAAAGGGCCAGGGATGTAACTCAGTGGTAAAGGGCCCCTGGGTTCTACCCACAATACCCCAAACAAAACAAAAAAACCCAATGCTGCCTCTTGTGGTGGCACATGCTTGTAATCCCAGCTACTCAGGAGGCTGGGGCAGGAAGATTACAAATTCAAGGCTAGCCCGGGCAATTTAATGTCTCAATTTAAAAATTAATAAAAGGTCTGGATATATAGCTCATATGTAAGAGTGTCTCTGGTGTCAATTCCTAGTACTGCAAAAAAGAAAAGAAATTGATGCCAAATGGAAACAAAGCTGGTGTACAAAATCATTTTCATTTTTGGCAGTGGTGTTCCTCTGGTGCTGGGGATCAAACCCTGAGCCCTGTGCATACTAAAAGCTCTGCCACTGAGCTCCGGCCCAGCTCCTCATTGCTTGTTTTTATTCAATATATCTAAAACTTTATGTAAAACAACAAAGCTGACTTTAGAAGGCCCACAGCTACCATCAGGAACAGATCACCTAGACTACATCACACTTGGAATGGGATCTTGTCCACACACTCTTCAAATACCTGATTCTAACAGGTTCCTTTTAAAATGAAGACAAAAATTTATGTCAGGTGTTTTTCTCACTACCAAAAACAGACATTGTCATACATTACCCTCATAAGTTGAGATAGAGAAGATAGGTTTAAGTCAGTTAGTGAAAAATATTTAAATTATCTAATATCAAATTTAAATACTAAGATGTAAATAATGATTGTTAGTTCTTATTGACAAATGATAAGACACAAAAGAATAAAGGCAGGATAGGTAGGAAGGAAACTTTAGATATACTGTGTTAATGTAAGCTTTATGTTTACAAAAGATGCTGTAAAAAGTTCTCATTTGAAACATGTAGCCAAGCTCCAGACAACATGTTTTTCTTGACATGGTTTATTTTAATAAAAAATACAGCTGAACATTTATCACAGATTACATGAAACTATACACAATGACATTCTCTCTGCATAGTAACCAACACTGATGTGTGTATTTGAATTTTAAAATGGATTATTTATAATCCTTTAAAGTGCAATTTATTTAAAGGTTTAAGCAAATCAGGATAAAAGATTTCTAATAAATGAGTAACRTTAAAAAAGATGATATATTCAATAAGTCTTTCAAAAATCAGAATTGATTTATATAGATGCCAAATTTGCTTGTGTTGTAATAAYGATCACCCAGATGACTTTGTTGTTGAGGACTACGCAGATCCTCTAACTGACTGGCAAGAGCTTTTTTGTGTCTGTTTCAGTACATTCTAACTAAAATGAACTAGGAGTCCACAGAGTAGTTGTTCTCACAGCCCCAAGTTCTATAGCCAAAATGGGATTCCTGGTGGAGCCTGAGACTGTTAGGAACTCCCCCATTTTATGTGAGGGAAGAAAAAAATGAAGAACTCAGTGGCTTCTCTGACTCAGCAACATAACTGTGCTTTGGGCCACAGTATTAATGTCTGAGGTGAAATAAAAGTAGCAGAAATGGGAATTAGCTAAGAAATAATGAGACAATGCTTCAGAAAAAATAAGCTATGAGAGGAACATTTCTGATGGGGTAGGAGGGATTGCAACAGAAAGGCCATTCACTATGGTGACGGAACATTGTCATTGCTTCTGTCTCTGTCCATTTCCTTTAAATGGTGAAAATATTGATTCCAATATGTGGCTGCCCCCAAAAGATGTCCATTAGCAGATGACCAGACTCCTTCACAATGCTGACAAAGGAACAACACATTTCTTAAGGCAGCAACGCCAGCTCCACTTTATTCTATTTGGAGGACGGCTCCCTCCTAACAGGCCTCTTAGCCGAGCATCTGTAGAACAGTGCGCAGCTGTACTGATTCCTCAAGGGCTCATCCAGGAAGAAGGGTCTTTAGTGGGTAGGAGTGGGGCGGACATGAATTCTTCCCTCAGTGTAAACAGGAAGCTTCAGCCAATCTTAGGAGCACTGTGGTCACAGGTTTCGGTTTTTCTCAAAGTTCCCTTTTGGAAATTCTGGATGGAGCTGAGCAAGGCCCCTCGGCTCACACCATTCACAGCCTGGGATGAGAGCTGCRCAGGCACCTCTGTGCTCGCAGGAGGCAAGGGAGCTGCTGGCGGTGGCGGTGGAGGCGGAGGAGGTGGAGGTAATGCAGATAGCCCTGTGGAGGTAAGGGGACAGTCAGTATCCACCTCTCCCCCAGCCCTGAGCACTGCTGCTGCTCAGACCTGGGTGGAAAGGACTGAGGGGAGATTGCAAATATTCTCCTCAGAGGGATCAAGATACCCAGTACTGTACCACTCTCTAAAACACTGAACAGAAAAGCTGAAGCATCAAAGGGGAATTAAGATTGTCATTTGCCTCAAATATCAGATGAAAAGACTGTTGGAACAAATATCACAGATTACATGGCAACAATCACAATGACATTCTTTTTTCCTTCTTTTAAATTTGAGACTGGGTCTTGATGTTGCTGACGGTCTCACTAAATTGCCAAGGCTGGCCTCAGACTTTCAATCTGCCTCAGCCCCACTGAGTTCCTGGGATGACGGGCATTGGCCACCATGCCAGGCCACAGTGATCCTTTGTCTACATAAATAAGGTGCTGATCTCATTTTCCAAATTTAAGTACCAAAAGAAGAGTTCCATCAGCCACTTTAGCCAGGTACGGGCAGCCCCACCCATTCTGAGCTAGATGTGTGATGCAGACATCTTTCTGCACAGAACTGAGCTACCTGAATGCCAATTACTCAAAGGGATGACTAGTTCAGTGGCTCTAACGTGCAATATTTTGATGGATGTGATTTAAAATAAAATGATAAACCACTGAGGATTCTCAGCAAGGAACCAGCACCTGCTGGGTTATGCATTCCCCAAAGGAGTCTGTCTTGAAGAGTCATTCTCTACTGGGTTGGATTAAAGAAATATAAAACGCTAATGATTGTGAACAGTGTAAAGCAAGCACTTAAAGGGGTCTCTCCTTGGCAATGACATTCTCAGGGAGAAGTCTCTTGTCAAGTGCTGTTCTTTCCACAGTAGTCCAACTGAGGAACTGAATGGAACTGTACCAGACATGCATCTCTGCTGGCGCATCAGGAGGGGCCAGAATGCTGAGCTCTACTTGGCAAGGAGGGGAAGCTAGACAGGTATCTAAAACATGCCCACCTCTAAGGCATATGGTTATTTGCAACTTGAATTTCATATTTTTGAATCAATGAGTGAATTGTTCTCTAGGGACAAAATAAATACTAAGTACAGAAATAGCACTACCTTACAGAACTTTCCTATGCACAGGGTTAGTGGGTTTATGTCCTGTGAACCTGTGTCTCCCTGGAACTCTACTATTTATTGCTGCCCTGTCCTCTACCCCTGCTAGGGCTACAGCAGGGAGACATTCTGCTGGGTGGCTTCCCACACTGTGGTGAGCTATAGTGAGAACAGGAAAGACACCTGTATGGATGAATTTGTATGGATGAATGGCTTGGGGTGACCCAGAAAATATTCAAGTAAGTATATCCTTCCCWCCAACTGTGACAGGCAACAGCTGAAATCTTGTAATTCATAGAAAACCACTTACCTTCCTTTATATCTTTTACCCCAACCTAAGACAGTTAAAATTGAAGAATGACACAAATACATACACCCATGCTCTGCAGCCTTGGGATTCTCAATGATCAATACAAATAAAGATTAAATACAGACAAATGAACAAAATGTAACTTTCATTGATCTATTGGATAACAACTAATGCATGAAGGGCAATTACGTTCTGTGCTGGCGTTGATTGTGGGAAGATGTTCTTGACTTTATGTCACAGGGTTATAAAAAGGGCTTTAAACCTGACGTGACTGTTGAGGTGAGAAACCCAGGTGGAATGAGCGTGTGATGGAAGTGTTCCTCTGAAGAGGACTCCTGGACGTGACCAGTGAAATACCAGGAGAAGGGAGCCCTGCCCGCTTAGGTGCCAATGCCCCCTACCAGACACTCTCACCCAGTGGCCAGAAGAGAGGACTCCAGGGTTTCTTCCTTTCAGCTTTGTGCTCTGACCCCTGGCAGAAGAATCACTGCAGGGTTAAGAATGAGAAGACAGAGTCCGGCAGCCCAGAACTGGCCACCCAGAGACTGGTTATTCCTGAAGCCCAGGATTCTGGGGGGCTAGAGACGGGACTTGGGGAATGGGCTTACAGGTATGGCTGGCCATCCTGGCACAGAACAGAAGTGCCTGGCCTCACAGGGAACCAACCCTTGACTTTGGCCTCTTTGTCCAGCATTGACATTAAGAGTGTAAATTACTACCACAGAGTTTGGGAGTTGTGGGGGAGTTCAGTAAATATATCTTCATTTTCCCAGGAAAGGCTGAAACTTGCAATTTTGATCACTTTGAAAAGGTAGATATTGGAAATAAACAGACTGTCGAAAGTGCTGTGGGGTGATCTGTGCCTGTAGCAAGGATGCTAAGGGCTGTGTGAAAGGAGAGCTGCCCACCCACCCTGATGTCTGCTCACAGAGGGTCAGACCRGCACCAAAGGGCCACTCTTCCTCACTAGGCCTGCAGGAACTAAGGCAGGTCTTGATGTATACAGTCACATTCATGGAAGGCCAGAGCCCACATTACCAGCTCAGAACCCCCTCTGCAAGGGGAGGGGAAGCCTAGGAGTCAGAGGTCAAAACAGAAGGAGGCAAATCGCATTCCAGGGATTGAGTCTTGACAAGTTTCATCTATTGTCCCTGGAACTTTTCTTCTTGCCTTTTTAAGGTCACAAGCTTCCTTTAAAGGTCTGTTGGGACTTAAGCTATAATACACTGGTAACAATGGCAGGGGTGAGGTGTGGATGGGGTTCAGGAGCTATGAGGCCTGTGACAAACCTAGGAACAACTGCATGATGTGTGCTCCATGTCTCAAATGCAAAAGCTCCTCCTGCAAAAGGTCCCAGATAGTCCTTTCCCCAGGTGACAGAGTAGGCTGGCCTCACGTTATGCATCTAGGAAGGGAGACAGTCAGTCCTGATCTCTCCCAGCTCCCTTTCTCTTAGAAAAAATCTCCAAGACCAGCTACTCTACCCTTCCTGAAATCCTCTCCACCAAACTCAATGGGAACCTGGCCGTCCAGTAGAGGAAAGTACAGGCTGCTGCCCCAAGAAAGTAGGTGAGACGTAGGGAGGAATGCCATTCCAGAAACACCCTAGACAGTCTCATGGAAAGGACATCTAAATCCTCTGTCCTCAGGCCAATTTTAGCAGAGGGTAATTTACAGGTCTCTGTGGCTGAGTTCCTTTCTGGTCCACACACATAGGTGGGAGGCCAAGTGGCCACCAGACCACACTAGAGCCTTACCAGACTACCTACCACTCTCAGGAGAGAGTGGAGAGCCCCAACCCCTGGTCCCCAGGTCTTGGGAACCACCTTCACTTTGACCTCAGGCAAAGAAGGAGGCTATTCCCAGGTCCCGACTAGAGAATTTTTAAGGATGCTTTAAAAAGAACTGTTCCYGACCATCATCAGTTACGCAAGCCAGTAAGCTGTCTCCTGGAACCCTAAAACCCTACAGCCTTTTCCTAACACCTTTTCCTCTAGATCAGAATGAGAAGGGACCAATAATTCTGTAACAACAGGACTTTGAGAGTCATGGTTTCCAAAATTAAAATACATCAAAATGCCATGCAGTCAATTAGCAGGTTTTAGAGCTGTATTTTATAACAAAAATCAGAGTGAAAATGAAGACTTTTGAAGGTCGTGATGGAAATGAAATGAATATAGATGAAGTCATTTGGGTGCTTTTTAAAGATGCTGTATTTCATTGAAATGTTCCATAAGGACACAGTCTCAAATCTGCTCTCCCACGTGCTCATCACCTTAGTGATCTAGACACTTTGGGTTCTAGTCACATACAGAAACAGAGCATCTTTAAAGTTAGAGAAATTAGCATAGCTTACTTTACCGAAAATTCGCGTTCAAAATGGCGCATGCTCTACTGAAAACAGCAAAGAGAAAGAAAGAGAGAGAGGACACAAGTCATTATTCAGGTTTTAGTGTCATTTAATCAAACAGTAACAGACAGTAAAATCAGACAGTCTGAATCACATGCTAATTAATCTCACTGCAAAACTAGGAGATACTCAAATTAACCACAAAATGCCCTGGTTTTTAAACCTGATTGTGACCCTTTTAGGACATGGGAAATCTAGTAATAGAGCAATCAATGAGTCACTTTCCTCTTCAGAGTCTTTCTCTCCTGAGCCAGTTAGGTGCTATTTTTATTTCTTTATAAGCACAGTGCTCACTTCAAAAGAGCCAGGGAGATTCCCGGTCCTGAAGAGCATTAGCAGTGTACTTCATTCTATTTCCAAACAAGGACCGAGGGGAAGAAAGGAAAACTCGCCACTTTTTTATTTTATTTTATTTTTTTGCAAGCAAGACTTCAAGTGTCTAAAATATAGACTTTCTGAAGTTGGGAAGAGAAAAAGCATAGGGCAGGTTCAAGGTGGATCGCCTGGGTGGGAGGCCTCCCAGGCAGAGATGCGGGTCACCTTCCCCTGGTAAAGCATGAGTAAAGCAAGAAAGGAAGGAAAGAAGGAAGGAAGGAAAGGAAGAAGAAAGGCAAATATTTTTCTTGTCTTCTTTCCAACTTATAAGTTTCCAGTTTAATGTGAGGGATAATGGTTTCCCAGAGAGGGAATCCCAGAGTTCCTAAGGAACAAATTCCATACACTGCCTGGAGGAAAAATCCCCTCCCTGGAGGTGGACCAGGAACTAGCACCCCCTGGGCGGTGCAGATTGACCACTCACACCAGGATGGTCTGGAAGACACAAAGGATGCTGGGAACACCTGCCCACCTCTCCTCCCCATTCTAAGAGAGTACTCTAAGGAGGAGGTCATATACTAGGAACTGGACTTGCAAGAGGAGGAGGAGAGCTGAGAATGGCCACAGCAGGTGGCAGCAGTGGGCAGAAGAACAGAGTCAACACGTGCTTCAGAGTTTGGTTGCAAGGCAGCCCTGCTCATCCCAGAGAGTGCRCCTTTGTGTATGTGTGGTTTCTGAGAGACAGACAGACCATTCTTATGGCCAGACACAGCAATTTTGAGTCTACAATGAGGTTTTAGGCTTTGATTTGATTTGATTTTAGAAACTTCAACATTCTAAATAAACTCATCTCTTTCTTTGTGCCTTAAGTCTTCTTTTCCTCCTTAATAGTCCTTCACTTTCTGTCCCATTCTTTAAGCCCCTAATCACTCTTCATGCCCACGAGGCTCTGCTTTGCTACCTCCAGCTCTCTGGAGTCAAAACTTCTCTTTTTCTCCACTCATTCTTATAGACTGGGTTTTCTACAAACTGTCAGATCTTCTTCCTCAAAATGATTGCTTAAAATTAAACTGTAAGCAACAAGGGCTAAAATTCTCTGATGACAGACACTTAGCTTATGGCACTTCATTGCTTATAGCTTTGCTGTGTACAGCATCTACCTAGTAAGGTGCAGGACTTCTTTTAAAAGACAGCTTCAACCGGGCGCAGTGGCACACACCTGTAATCCCATAGTTCAGGAGGTTGAGGCAGGAGGATCACAAGTTCAAAGCCAGCCTCAGCAACTTAGCAAGGCCTTAAGCAACTCAGTGAGACCCTGTCTGTAAATAAAATATTTTTTTTAAAAAGGTCTGGTGATGTGGCTTAGTGGTAAAGTGCCCCTGGTTCAATTCCTGGTATTAAAAAAAAAAAAAAAAAAAAAAAAAAAACAGCTTCAAAGAGTGGAAATTATTTGCTCAAGATCACAGCAGGCAAGTGATAGAGCTAGGATTCAGGACTCACTTCAGGTTTCCTGATTCTATATTTGGGATTCTTTCTTATTTGTTTATCAATCACATAGGAGTGCTTTACCACTGAGTCCTTTTTATTTTTTATTTTGATATAGGGTCTTGCTAAGTTGCCCAGACTAGCCTCAAACTTGGGCTCCTCCTGCCTTAGCCTCCTGAGTGGCTGGATTATAGGTGTGTACCACTRTGCCTGGCTTGGGGTTCCTTCTACACAAGCTGAGACTTGTTTAACAGCATAGGCCCAGCAGTGCACCCTGAAAAAAGCAGGCACTCAATAAATCAGTGGGGCAAATGAACAAAGGTAGAACCAAGCTCCAATCCTGACCCTAGCACTCCCTACTGTCTGACCTTAGCCAAGTTCTCTCAGCCCTACTACAGCCTCAGCCCTACTATAGCCTCAGTTTCTTTTTCTGTAAAATGGAACTCAACTGGATTTAACTCTCATTGGAAAATATTCATGGAGAATAAATGAAACAGTGGTTACTAATCATTTAGAATAGTACCTGACACAAAATAAGTGCCCCAAATATGTTAGGTGAAATTATTAAAAACAACAGCTTAGGGTCTCCTGCTTATTTAGGTTTCCTAAAACACTCGTTTACTAATCTACTTAAAATAAAATTTAAAAAATTGATATCAAAGTAACAGAACTTTCTGCTCCCTAAGTGGGGTGGAAGTGAGAACTTTTAACCCGCTCAGCTCTATGAAAACAGAGTATAAATACTAGTTGGTGGCATTCACCATGACACAAGTCAGGATAAAGAATTTTTAAGTTCTTGAAAGACTGACCTTCCTAGGGCAAAAAAAAAAAAAAAAATCTTTAGAAGAACAAAAAAGTGTTAGGAATGTTCTCACTGAAAAAAATAGGATCATAGTAAAAGTATTAGAGAATGCCACCCTGCCCAATGGAACTGCCAGCCTTAGGGAAAYTATATTCCTCCACCAATTTGTTAAGGAACTCAATAGATCCCAAGGCAGGAGCTAGAGAGAAAAGGGAGTAGCCCCCTCCATTTAGAAACATCTGCCCCATCTAGAAAGTAACCGAAAATTAGGTCACACTTAGCTACCTTAAATGTACCCGTAAAACTGAGGCTTTCCAGAAGAGAAGCACTGCTGTCGGCTCAGCTCCCCTAAGCTGACCTATTGCTGTTGGTCTCTTGCAGAGTGAAGTGCCAGAGGGCAGAGTCCACACTGGGTTTAGAGTTTGCAGATTAGAAGGAACTATGACATGGTCTCTTCTAACTTTTGCTTTTCTGCCATTTACCGAGGAGGTAACCAAAACCCAGCAGTGGAAACTGACTGGTTCCAGGCCTTGGTAACTAACAGTGAATGGAGGAACGCATCTGCCTGAACTAGAGCTCCTGAGATGCTGAAAAGGTGACTCCATGAAGGCTGGGACCTTGTCTGCCTGTCTGGGTCACACAGGGCCACACACAGCCCCTGGAAATCACACGCTCCCTACAATGCATCTTGAATGAAGAAACTCCCTGTAGGAACCCCATTTGGGGCCTGCAATGCTAGGTTGCTAGGCAAATGCTAAATATTATTTTTTATGAGACGTATTACAAGAAATGCCCAGCAGAGGTCAGAGTACTGTATTTGGGGTGACATCAATAATTTGATCAACCCTGAAGGATAGGAGTCCCCACTTGCTGGGGACTTCCATCTCTGTCAGTTATTGTGCTTAGACCTCAATATTTTCCCTTTAAATCCTCAAGATTCCCCTTCAGGGTAGGTACTGTCAAATTCACAGTATTGCCTCCTGCCATTTCTACTCACCTAAGAGGAAGTTTTCCCAGTACCAACTCTAATTACAAAAGATTCCCCTTTTTCTTCTCACATTCTAAGTTACTTCATCTCATGCAAACATACTACTGTGTTAAATAGCTCCCATGTAAAGCAGAGGTAAATTAGAGACTTCTTCCCCGCAATCCAAACAAATTGCACATTTTCTATGTCATTTAAAGATGAGAATTAGCGATGAACTGTCCAGACACATCTAACACACATGGTGAGGTGCTCTGTGCAGTAAAGAGACACCTTGCTTGTTAAAGGAGAGCTCATAGAATCTCCAAGTTAATGTTCTTAATATGTCCAAGTGGTATAAAATTAATATTCTAACTTTTAGAAATTGGCTCAACAATGTGGTCTGGACAGAGAATCTCCAGAAGTCTGTGATCAACCTAAACAGATTACCTCATAAAAGACATATCAACCTGGATCAGTATTTGGGAGTTTCTTTAAAAAAAATCTGCTGACAAAGACAAAGACAAGAATATCCTGCCATGAGCCAGGTTCTTCATTCCTCAAGAAAAGTCCTGGCCCAGAACATTCTACATAAGCCTCTGGTAACTGCTCTTAGCCACTAGGAAGGCACACCAGCCTGAAGCAGGGGGTTCAAATTAGCTCCCTTGCATTTGCTTGTTGTCATTTCCTCAGGAGGGTCAGGAAGAAGTATTTGAGAACAACCGGAAAATGCTCTTGGTAGCTCCCGGATACTACCCTAAACAGTAATGAATGTGGTATTGTCAACTCCTGTATCAACCTTCTTTCAGAAAGTTGTAGGAACCTTTCCAAGAATTGTTGATGAGCTCTGAGTGAAGAAGCAGCTCCTCAGACATCTAGAACAGCTGGTTCGTTTAAGAAGTGAAAGGATATATGCTGCTCCAGAGTGTTTCCACTGGGCTGGCAAAATGCTTAGAAAGATCTTTGTTCAAAGGGAAGGAAGCCAAGAAAGTATTATGAGACCATTCTGCAGAATCAGAGTTCTATAAGTAAGCTCCCAAGCTAAACTCTCTCTCTCTCTCTCTTTTTTTTTTAGTTGTAGATGGACCTTTATTTTATTTATTTATCTTTATGTGGTGCTGAGGATCAAACCCAGTGCCTCACACATGCTAGGCAAGCGCTCTACCACTGAGCCACAACCCCAGCACCCAAGCTAAATTCTTTTTAAAAATTTTAAACAAAATTCACAGTATCTGATTTAATTCACATAGGTGAAACAAAGGCTAATGATAAAGAAACATCAGAATAATTAAATGCATTACAGAGTARAATAGAGTGCAAGTAGTTATCTGGAAACCAGAAGACAGTGGTGGGATTTCGCACCTCACCTAGACAGTTCACCATTTCTGCTCTGACACAAAACTCAGATCATGAATGGGCTCCCTAAGGAGAAAGCTCCAGTAGGACAGGGCCCTGGGCAGTAGTGCATTTGTTTTGTCCCAAGACAAACTCTGACCCAAGGATCCTTTTGTGAGGCTTTATAGCCAAGAGAGCAAGCTTGAGCCAGAGTGGTAAGTGGCCCGGAAACCAGTCCATTCCCTATGAACTCAAGCTTGGAAATGGAAACCCTGAGCTCTCCTGGAAGACACAGCTAATCTGCATTCCCACTGGTCTTCCCAGGAGAAGGCAGTGCTACCTAACATTGAAATGCCTGGGCCAAGGCACCAGAGAGAGCCCGCTTCTCCCACGGGTGGAGAGGAGGGAGTCACATGACCTTACCCCATTACTGACCTGCTGTAGAGGGTGGAGTCGGCGACGATGGGGATGTGAGAGGTGAGCTGGCCCCAGATCCTGCTAAGATAAAACACAGGGAAACCCTCATGGGGGACCAAAAACAGACATTTGGAATTTGGAACAAGTAGAAACCCATCACTGCCTTGTGGGCCTTGTAAAACAATGTGATAAAGGACAGAAAATTCACAAACTGGACCCAAGGGCAACAGACTTTCATCCCAGTCCAAGGTCTGCTTTCTTCCCCAGGTCCTCAAAGGCCTGTTGAGTCCCACTGCCTCCAGCAGCTTGACTAGTTTGAAACCAACTTTGTTTAATCAAAACAGCTTAGGCAGTTGGCAATAACTTCTCTTCCGGACCCAACCTCATCTCTGGGTAATGACAAATGACAGTGGTCAGAGCAATACAGGGAACAGAGCCTGATGGGAGCTTCTCCAAAGAAAACAAGAGCTCCTCACAGAACCCACCCAACATTGCTTTCTATAGAAAGGTACATTTCTGAGCGGGTACAATCAATTAGACAGGGTCCAGCCTGCAGCCTGTGGATTTTCCATGTTTTTTCTTACATGACATTTAGTAAATACAGTAAAACAGTATTTACAGTAAAACAATGTGCAAAATTCCACACATTGCATGCTTTTCCTGGGTCTAGTAGCCTTGTTATATTTCAAACACTCCCAAGTTCTCAGCATCTCCCTGTAGCTTAGACATCCCTAGAAAATAATCGCACTGGATGGACAGGGATGCAGCCCTAGAAGCAGATGGCAGTTCCTACATAAGCCTCTTCTATAAAGACAAGAAGCCCCACCCCCCTTGCACATGGAGTTCCTAACCAAGAGCCTCCAGGGCTGATGGGCACACACCTCAAAAAGGAGGGCCGTCACCTTTTGCTGTTGTGGTTAAGCTCACAGCCATGACCACACTCCCAATCCCCTCCCTCATGGACACTGAGAGACATCCTAATTAAGCCATGCCTTCCTCTGGCTTCCCTTATTCACAMTATTCCTTTAGCTCCCTATAAAATATGAGCTTTCTACTGAAATAGGAGGTAAAACTCCGGGCTRGGGATAGAGCTCAGTTGGTAGAGTGCTTGCCTTGCACAGAAGGTAAAATTCAACGTGTGCTACTTTCAGATTGTTTGTAGTGCTGACAGATTTTAACCGAGAGAAGACTGAACTTGGGTCCCAGTAGTGTCTCCCGGTAATCTGTACATTTCCCTCAACAACCCTTACTTCACTTTTCTCTCAGTTTTTTCTCCAGCCCAGGCAGATATCCTCTTGGCTGACTTCACCCAGGAGAATGAGGCATGACCTGTAAAGATCCTCACTTTCCTCCACCATTTTCTTTTTTTTGGTGCTGGGGACTGAATCCAGGGCACTCAACCACTGGGCCACATCCCCAGCCCTCTTCCCCCCCCAACCCCAGGAGAAAGCATATTAATTTTATTTGATGTTAATACTTTTAAGTGGCATGGAGTTTCCATAGAAAATAAATGATAAGCCCAAGAAAGCCCTTAGACTTAGGGATTTATATACCATTTTAACCAAGKGCAATAAATTGTGGAGAAATGACTAGACAAAGGAAAGGAATTTCGACTTGTAGAGGTGGCACACCAAGAGAAAGTGACTCAGAAATACATGGGGGAATTAATGAAAGATAAGTGTTGTTTTAGTAAGTTTTTTTTTCCAGCTGCTTTTGTATTTTATTTAGAGACAGAGTCTCACTGAGTTGCTTAGGTCCTTGCTAAGTTGCTGAGGCTGGCTTTGAACTCAGCCCCAGCCTCCCGAGCAGCTGGCATTACAGGTGTGTACCACCGCACCTGGCAAGGCCTACCCCTTTGAATYATCTTGGGCTTTCTGGAATGATGCCCTTGCCATCCCCACACACCACTGAGTCCTTTCCTTAATCTATGCAGAGAAGCCCATCTTCCCACCATGTGGGGTGCAGAGCAGAAGGCAGGATTAAGGGTTCTTTCAGTTAATGAAGCCTCTACGGAAAGACAGGATTCCTTGCATTTTAAGTAGGGTCTGTTTTACTTCCATGGCGAATGCTCCTGTGTAGGTGGCTGATTAGCCAATGACAATGAAGAAGCAGAGCTACCTAATAACCTCTGAGATCCTCTAGCACTTGAGTTCTGAGGCCATGAATGCTGTCACAATCCTTCATCAGGATCAGAGTTCTTCTGTTTTCTGTATGGGTGCCCAGTCTACGCCCACAAGAATCCAAAACCTCTGGACCAACCACAGGCACCTGACCTTGACCTCTGACTCTTGGGCCCCACTAAAATCTATAGCCAGTTACCTGAATTATTAGAGTTGCTGTACTTTGCTGAATGCTCTTCACTATTTTCAATAGCAGATCGTTTTGACTTCTTTAAAAGAAAGAAGGGAGCAAAGAATAAACATGCTGAAGCTGAGAGTTAGAATAAAAAAATTTTCCAGACATACAGTTAAACTAGCTACAAACAAGGTCATATTGGGCCTCATAACTTAGCACAGTGAAGAAGCCACAAGCCAAAACTAAAGAGGGAAATAAAACCCAGAATGCTGACTTTACTATCTCAGGCCGATCATTTCCACCAATTACATTTTGCCATAAYAACCTCAGTAAGCCAGGAAACTATATGGTCCATTACACTGCTGATATTATGTGGCTTTTAAAAAGCTCCAAACCAGTCATCTGGAAGTACTTTCAGCTTTCAAGGAGATACAGCACAAAGTCATTAAATGTTCACCTAGAACTTTCCTCACACTAGTCGAGCATTCACCAGGAACTCAGAGATGCCAGGCTTACCTTCCGAGCTAAGATCTTTCTCTTTTTTCTTTCTTCTTCAGATCCATGATGTGACTGAGCTCTTGTCAGTCTTCGATGCTGGTGAATCTTTAAGAGATCACAATCCACCACAATGTAAGCACATCCTACATAAGGCATTTTCCTAAAGAAAATCTTCTCCAATATGCTTTGCCAAATCAAATTATTTGGGTAAAACAATCAACAATCTTGTTTTTGTTTTTTTTTTTTTTTTTTTAACTCAGCCTCCCTGTCTCCTGGCTTAGGTCTGAATGTCTGGGAGGAGTAAGTATGTCAGGTGATGCACAACTTCTCACTCCCCAGGTTCTTCCCTGCATCTTAGTTTTATTAATTTGCTTATTGGTACTGGAGACTGAATCTAGGGTTTCATGCAGCTAGGCAAACACTCTTTCAACTGCGCCACAGCCACAATCCTTTTCATTTTATTTTGAGACAGGGCTTTACTAAGTTGCTGAGGCCAGCCTCAAACTTGTCATCCTTCTGCCTCAGCTTCCCAAGTCACTGGGATTACCAGTATGCACCATCACAGCTGGCCAGTTCCTGGTATCTTTAGGGCATGGACTACACATACTCCTAACCACCTAGCATGCCCTGATCATAAAGAATGACCACCCTTTGTGCCATGTGTTTTCCCCCCATAGACTGAGCTGCTTGTGGGTAGATTGTGAATATTTGGCCCTTTGTCCCAGTAGCCAGCTTGGAATGTGGTTGAGAGCAACCAAGCACAAAATGTTTAGGGCATGAAAAATCAGTCAAAACTCAACCGCTGGCCAGGTGTGGTGGTGCACACCTGTAATCCCAGAGGCTAGGAAGGCTGAGGCAGGAGAATCCCGAGTTCTAAGCCATCCTCAGCAACAGTGAGGCCGTAAGCAACTCAGTGAGACCCTGTCTCTAAATAAAATACAAAGATACAAAGCCAGGCTGGGGATGTGGCTCAGTGGTCCAGTGCCCCTGAGTTCAATCCCCAGAACCCAATAAATAAATAAATAAATAAATAAATAAATAAATAAATAAATAAATAAATAAAATAAAAACCCAACCCTCTGGCGAATACCATGGCAGAGGATGCGGACACAAAAGACCAAAAGGCGATGAAGAACTGTGATCAACTTACCTGTTTCTGTTCTTCAATTAGTCTCTTTTCTATACATTCTTTGGCAATTCTCAATGCCTCTTTTAACTTTGTGGGAATCTGAAAGAAGAAAAAGTACATCATCTATTGAATGAAGGGACTGGAGAGTCTCCTGAATCCTGGAGTCCATGAGGAGTAGCTGATTACCCAGAGGASGCTCTCTGGAATAAAACCAGTTCGAGCTGTCCACTTGAATGCTATCCCAGCCACATTTAGTGTCCCTAACACACTCACCTCTTGGGCATTTTTTAGCAATGAACACATAAAACTAAAACAGAGGCATAATCTACACTTCAAGTAATTCAAGTGGATCTCACACTGCCAAAATAATCTTGAAGAAGAAAAACAAAGTTGGAAAGCTCAAACATCTTGAGTCTGAAAATAATGACATAGCTACAGTAATCAAAACAGTGTGATGCCAGGTGAGGTGGCACATGCCTGTAATCCCAGCAACTCAGGAGGCTAAGGCAGGAGGATCGTGAGTTCAAAGCCAATCTCAGCAACTTAGCGAGGCCCCAAACAACTCAGAGACCCTGTCTCTAAATAAAAAAAGGCTAGAGAGCTGGGGATGTGGCTTAAGCCTGGCATGTGTGCGGCCCAGGTTCGATCCTCAGCACCACATACAAACAAAGATGTTGTGTCTGCCGAAAACTGAAAAATAAATATTGAAATTCTCTCTCTCTCTCTCTCTCTTAAAAAAAAGCGGGGGGGGGGCTAGGGACACTGGCTCAGTGGCTAAGCACCCTGGGTTCAATCCCTAGAACAAAACAAAAAACAAAAAAACCCTAGTGTGATACTGATGTAAAAACAGACACCTAGAATAATGGAACAGTACAGAGAACCTAAGRAAAAAACCCTCATATGCAGTCAAATGATCTTTGACAAGGGTGCTAAGAACATCCAATGAACAAAGAACTGTCTTCAATAAATGGTGCTGGGAAAATTGGAAATCTACATGCGAAGGAGTGAAGCTGAACCCTACGCCATTCATAAAACTAATTTAAAATGGATTCAAGACCTAAATGTAAGTTCTAAAACCATAAAACTAAAAGAAAACACTGGATAAAAGCTTCATGACATTAGATTTGGCAATGACACCCCCCCCACCCAGTTCTGGGGATTGAACCCAGGGACATTTTTCCACTATGCCAAATCCCCAGCCCTTTTTAATATTTTTTTTCTAGAGACAGGGTCTTGATAAGTTGCTCAGAGCCTCATTAAGTTGCTGAGGTGACTTGGAACTTGCAATCCTCCTGCCTCAGCCTCCCAAGCCACTGGGATTATAGGTGTGTGCTACCATGCCCAGCCCTGTTATTTCTTAATTTATTAGCTTTTCAAACCAGGAGGAGTCCAGACCTGGAAAAGAGACACCCAGAGCATGTTGAACTTTTTGTCTTTTGTTATTGTTTTAAAAATTAAAATTTAATTTAATTTATTTTTAGTAGGTCATATAGTTAGTTCAAAATCCAAAAGGTGTAAAAAGGTACATACACAGTGAAAAGTCTCCTACATCACTGCCCTCCTTGGGGTCAGCGAGTGTCACCAGTTTCCTGTGTAACCTCCACAGTCAATACATCTACAGGAACTTAGTTCTACTTTTTAAAATCATATTGTTTTTATGGAAAAGGTTGCTGGCTTAGAGAAGGAGTAAAATCTAACACTAATCCCCAAATCCTAGGGACTAGAAAGTCTGGCTGGGAGAGAGTATATTTATTGAAAGCCTGAATTAATACATTTCCTAAGAGATTTCAGTGAAGGAGATGAATTTATTTTTATTTCTTCCTACCTCAGAATCCAAAGAAACCATTTACTCTGTGGGAACTTCTCTGACGAGCTGTAAGGATGGCCTTAGGCCTGAGCCTAAGCGACTCCATTTTAAAACTCCAGTTTGAAACCTGCAGTCTCTCCTGGCACACCTACGGAGCCCTCCAATATGATCATCAGGAATAGTCCTGACATAAACAAGTCACTTCTCCCCACCCTGACAAGCTCAAAGTGAAGTCTCTGCCATGTTGTCCTCACCCCATAAGGGGAAGAGGCAAGAAAATCAGGGTGGGGATCACCAGACCTAATGCTTTAACCCCAGGGCAAATGATGTCACTGAGAGATCTGATGGCTGCTGACAGGGATTGGAAGGGTGGTCAGAAGCCCCCCAACTTAGTATAAGTGATGGAGCAAAGGAACAGACATTCAGCCAGCCGACACTGATGCCCTCACGCTGAGAGCCTGATGACGGCCTGGACTGACAGCCCAGCTCTTCTCATAGTTTGCCTGGTCCTCTGCATCTTCCTCACTGCTTTCAGACTCTACAGTCACATCTTGACGGGGTGAGAGGGGTGACTTGTCTCTATGACCCTCTCCTCAACTGGCCGTCAGCTCCACCCCAGGAGAAGCCTGCCTTGGTTCCTCACCTGATCACCACGGTCTGAGTGAATGTGCATCTGCTCGACTTAAAGCCTAAGGCTGGAGGCTTTTGTTCTGACACTTGAGCTTAGAATGCAGAGGGAATATCTGTCTGTTGTGAGCCTGTCATGATTGTGTTTGCAGTGCTTAGAATTAATCTAGAATTGTTTGCTGTGAATTGATCATGTCTATTGCAGTGCCTAGCATTAAGGATTGTCATTTTCTTGAGTAAGAACCTATAGAGTGAAATTGTATTGAGCGATTTGAGTGAATAAAGCATTGAAAAGAACAAAAGCGTGTGGACATTCTTTATTTCTCCCCCTCAACTGCRTAAGTTGCACCTTTTGACCATCACGACACTAGCAAACAGAGCAGAGGGAAACATTTCTCACTTATACAATCTAGCTTCACCTTGGTTTTCTTTTCTTTCTTTCTTTGCTTTGTTCGTTTTCATCATAATAGCATGACATGTTTTTTTGCAAAACAGAGAGACGACACAAAATTACATGTCAGCCTCCCGCCCAAATCTGCATGCAGGTGAGAGATGGGACCTGAATGAGGAGTGTGCGAAAGTAGTCTCAGTTGACCAATGACAGGCTGGTATTACTCCCCAGTGGGACACGCAAGTAGACAGCAACTAGAAGGTTAGGTACTTGCCAGTGGCCACTTGTCAGTGGCTCTCAACTGGGTGCAGTTTTGTAGACCCTTATCTGGAATGTCTGGAGACACTGTCATGGTATTTTTGTTTTTGTTTTGACTTTCTTTCTTGTTCTTTTTCTTCTTCTTCTTCTTCTTCTTCTTCTTTTTTTTTTTTTTTTTTTTTTTTTTTTTTTTTTTTTTTTTTTTTTTTTTGTGTGTGTGTGTGTGTGTGTGGTGCTGGGGATCAAACCCAGGGTCTTACACATGCCAGGTAAGTGCTCTACCACTGAGCTACATCCCCAGTTCTTGCCTGGAGACATTTCTGGTTGCCACAATGAAGGAAGGGCCTCTGCTTCACACCCTGCAGTGCACGGGCCGGGAGCTCCCACATTAAGGAATTATCCAGCCCAAAAATCAAATGCCACAGTTGAGAAGCCCCACTGTAGGTAATGGCTGGTATCCTACAAGCAAAGCATTACTCTGGTTTTTCATGCTCTTCCCATGACACCACATCACTGCTTCCCCCGTGACTTCCACACCACTGCTTCCCCCGCGACTTCCTTCCAGACTTTTCTCTAGACACAGATATGTGGTTTTACACAGTATATTTCATACTCAGCTTAAAAAAAAAAACTTAGCCCAAATCATAATTGCTTTACATACTATTATAATGCCTTAATACATTTCACTTTTATTGGATTTACTCTTTTTTTCCAAATAAATGTACTAGAGATGATAAAACTAGCTCCTAATTATACAGTATTTAGATTACTTTCAATTTTTCCCTATTGTCTACAGTTTCTTATATGACTGAACAAAAAGGTAACTTTCAAGGCTAACTTATTTGTGTTACAAACAAAAAAAGAAAAAAAAAAAAAGATATAATCGCTCGCTTTACCTTAAACTGTGGCTTTTCAGAAGTGGTTAGTAAAACATCACTGAATAATCTGTAAAAAGAAAGAAACAAAAACCCTTTTTAAACCAGGTATATTCCCAGAGTAAGATCAAGGCATATTAAGACACCTATAATACCTGAGGTCTCCCTTCTCCCACCACATACTCAGCCCCAGCCAAGCCACCACTCCAAGTTTACCCACAAASGCAAAGCAGTTTACGGGCCACCCAGTGTGATCTCAGGAACTCCCTCCCCAGTGGCTCAGGGATATTAGGGAGCACTGGACCAGCTGTGTGGGGGAGATGGTTTCCCCACCATGGGGCAATATAGTATTTGGGGAAAAAAAAGTATTTTTGCAAAAATATGACAAATAATACATGTAGTAGATATTTCTAAACAAAATATCTGTTATTCTTCTTTTTATTTATTTATTTATGCCTCAGAAAAGGACAAAATTTATTCTAGAGCCCAGCAAAATAAAGAGGAAGTGGAAAAGAATTGCCCKGATTGGAATCCAAGAGAAAAATATTTTTTTCTAATGTTTCTCATGCATAATTTTAAAAAACAGCAGCTTTTGGAGAACAGCAATTCTCTCTTCCAAAGCCAGTCATTAAGAATGATAGCATGAGGGAGCTGGGGTTGTGGCTCAGAGGTAGAGTGCCTGCCTAGCATGCATGAGGCMCTAGGTTCGAGCCTCGGCACTACATAAAAATAAAATATTATGTCCACCTATAACTAAAAAATAAATATTAAAAACAATAGCATGAGGAATTCTGAACTGCTTTGATGAAAATGGCTGCTTGGATAGTGCCCATTTGACCATTCCCTACTTTGTAAAGACAGGAAATTCATCCCAAGCAGAAGCCATAGGACTGCCTTTTCCTCAGAGGACTCCCCAACCTCCTGACCCTCCCCTGCCAGGCCTCTATTTACTTCCAAAAAACACATTTACTTGAACATAAATCACCCCTCACCCTGGGCTCTTGTCAAGGATGAAGCCCACAGGATGGAGACTTGGGTGAAGAAAAATATATTTGGATTCACTTTAGAACTAGAAGCCTGGGAGGAAAATGGAAGTGCTTTGGAGAAGAGAGTACAAATGCAAAATCAAGTAAATGAACACGCTGCCTCCTCCCTACAAATGCATTTTGTTATAAAACTTTGGGTAGAAATTACTTGGGTTTTTTGTTTGTTTTGCTCTTGATACTGGGGATTGAACCCTGGGGTCCTTTATCACTTAGCTATATACCCAAACCTTTTTTTCTTTATTTTGAGACAGGGTCTTGGTAAGTTGCTGAGGTTAGCCTCAAACTTGAGATCCTCCTGCCTCTGCCTCTCAAGTTGCTAGGATTATAGGCATGTACCATCATGCCCAGGTAGAAATTACTTTGCTTTCTCAACTGGATCCATTTTTCCATATGCATGCATATTTTTATAATAGCAGTGGGTCTGGACATAGATGCTCCTGTGGATCTGTGGAATATTCCAATGTCATATCCACAGGGCAGGTTTGTTTCTACCATTCATCTGTCTCCCCAGGGACCAGGACAGCTCCTGGCCTACAGAAGGTCCTTTCTAAACACTCATGAGAATAATGAACAAGGAATCTGAAGTTATACACCTTCTTTGAACTTTGCTGCACACTCTTCAAATTGTCCCTTGCCTCCTTTGCCTCTGTTATTGTTTCTGAGTCCATCTGTTACACAACAAGCTGGTACAGAGAAAGCAATGGGCCTGGGAAACTCCACTCCCACAGTTTCCCAGGTGGAAGTGGCAAACCTGGGATCCACCTTAGGTCTGTCTGACTCCAGCCACATCCTCCTTAACCTTAGCTCAGCTTCTTCTCCATAAAGGAATAGAAAATGTACCTAAAAGAAAGGCCCCAAAGCACTATATCAACTGCTTTGATGAAGTAATCTCTCAGGAGGTTGAGGTAGGAGGATCGCGAGTTCAAAGCAGACTCAGCAACTTAGCAAGGCCCTAAACAACTCAGTGAAACCCTGTCTCTAAATAAAATATAAAAAGGGCTGGGGATGTGGCTCAGTTGTTAAGTGCCCCTGGGTTCAATCCCTAGTACCAAAAAAAAAAAAAAGTATTGTTAACTCTGTTTAAGGGAGAATGTCTTCTGAATGCACAGCCCTTAGCACAGTGCCTGATACAGGCTAGAAGTTCAACAAATAGTACCCAGTGGGGAAATGAGCAAACAAAGCTCAGAAGCCCAGAAATACATTGCCTTCTCCTAAAGGGCAAACCTCCCAAGGCCCTGTGCTTGCGAACTACCCACAGCTGGGTGCTAACTGGCACGCTCAAACAGGTTAGCAAGGAGAGGGGCTTGAGAAGGCCCTCCTTTGGCATTCCTAAGTTTGGGGCTTCACATGTACACACACACATACACACACACACACAATGCTAACGTTGACAGAGGAGAGACACACATAAAAGGACATTAATGTTCAAGGACAACATGAGAGAGCGGGGAGGTCATGGTATCATGCTGCAAGTGACCATCAGCAAGCAGGTCACTTCAACTCCACCGGGACCACAATTCAGTCCTTAGTACAGTACCAGGCACAGCGGTCTGGTGTTCAACAGTTATCAAGGTGACAAGCAATGCATATAATTGACTTACGGCATCTGTAAGAGCCGGGAGACGGTAGGCATGCCATTTTTACAGGCGTCACAAGACAGCGTAGACTCCAACACGGCCACTTGAAATGAACAGATACACATTTTAGTTCCACAGAACACGTTGGCAAATCCGCTTGGTGATGAAAAGTTTGACACCGCTTTGTAATAACTGTCTGCAGGCTGATCAGGACAGTGTCAAAACTCTTCACACACAGACAGATGGCATACATGGGGGGAGGGGGGATGCTGGCAACACTCGTGTTCCCAATGACTCAAAAGAAATGCCTCAGGAGCCACACGCTGACAGAAAGCCAAGTGTATTCCAAAGATAATTGGGACTCATTCATAAAAAGTGTTTATTCTTTCAGAAAAGAAGTAAACCCTACACAGAAGCACAATTTGGAACTTGAAAGTCATTTTGCTGCTTGCCTGATTTAAATCAAACACGAAATGCCAGCTGTTGATACCTCGTTATCCAACACCTTGGATGGCATCAAAAACAGCAGAGACTTTCTATCTGAAGGTCACTGTTCAGTTTTGGCTGTTCAAACTCAACACAAAATAGTCTTGGGGGCCTGTTCTCTCCACACTTTTGGAGTGTTGACTTGTATGTTCCTGGATGATGGTCCAAGAGCCACCCTGCTCTCCTCTCTCCGCTCCAGCTGAGTTCTCAGCTGGCTGTGGAAGAACAGGAGGGCCCCTGGGTGAGTCGGCTTTAGTTCCTGTAGAAGGTAACTCCCACCTACCCTTTGGCTCTCCTGGGCCTACTCAGGTAATGCTGGAAGAGCTCCTGGATCCAGAATGTTTGTGACCCTGCACCCCTGGCTGGGCCTGCTGGGCTCTTCTCTGCCAGGCTTCTAACCCATGGCTCTCCTGTTCCAGTCCTGCTCCAGCCTTGTTCTGACTCCTGAYACCTGCCAGTGTCCCCAAGACTGGCTTCAAGTTGCTGGGCCCTGGCTTTTGCTTCTGATTAAGACTCATGCTGGCTATACTTCTCTTTATGTCCCTCTACTTTCAAAATGCTAATGCATGGCTGGGGCTGTAGCTCAGAGGTAGAACACTTGCCTCACATGTGTGAGGCACTGGGTTCGATCCTTGGCACCACATAAAAATAAATACAGATATATTTTTTTAAATGCTAATGCATTTTACAAGAAGTTTCCTGAAGGTTTCAGATGGCCCCACCAATTGTCAAGCCACCTGAATGTTTGCTGAAGTGTATTTCTGGTTGTGGAGGATAGTAACGTCCTCTAGGTCCTTCCTGGACTCTGGAAACAGAGTGGCTCTGTCTGAGCCCAGGAGATCCCTCCAAACCCTGTACTGACCCACAGCCATGGATGGTGCAGGAGGAAAGGAATCCACAGGCACTGAGTCTGGCGGTCGTCCATAGGTCATTTCATACAGTAAGTGGCCAAAGCAGTGGACGTCCACACTTTCCAACGTCTGTGGAAGAAAGAGAGCASTGCCACGTTCATCCTCCACCTAGACCCCCTACTCCTGCCCAAAGCTTCCACTGAGAAACCAGGCCCAGGGGCAGCCCTACTCCCAATTGGCAGTAAAAATGCAATCCCAAAGCCTTTCGTGAAAGCTCAGAAGGTATCATTCTGACCAAACATCATGGTCCTACCTCTGTGATTTTCCAATTAATGATTTCACCCCCTTCCTTGCCCTATCCAGCAACGCTCCCTGAGAAAAACAGGGCCAATGGGTAAGGCCCACCTCAGCTCTGCCTTTCTCTTCTTAGCACTATTTCCTACATGAGAAGATCAGGGGTCCTCTACTGCTTCATTGCTTTAGTGACTTACATTGATTTTCCTGAATTGTGTGAAGTAGGACCGGTAGAAGGAAGGAAGGCCCAGTAAGGAATTCTCGAGGTCTAACAGCCGGCAAGTGTCCCCATCTAACATCACGTTGGAGGCATGAAGGTGCCCATAAGGGAATCCTTTGTCATGTAGAAACTTTAATACCTATTAAAAAATTTGCATAGGTTTCATTTTCCTCCCAACTCACTTGGATATGAGAGGTTAAACTGTGTGTGTATGTGTGTGTGTGTGTGTGTGTGTGTGTGTGTGTTTTCTTTTTTGCTGGGGGTATAGCTTAGTGGTAGAGCACATGCTTAATATGTACAAGGTCCTAGGTTCAATCCCCAGCACTGAAAAAAACAAACAAAAAATCAAAAACAACCTGGTTTTTCTTTTAAAGTCAATGTGTTTTGAAACAATATCAAACAGGTCACTGGGGCGATTCCTAAAGAAAAACGTTACCTCTGTCCGTTCCTTTGGAGTCATGCTGAATGCTCTCAGGCTGTGAGTCTGAGATGCAACACCAAGTTCCCTTTTCCAAAGAATAGAGAAGGGTTGGGCATGGTGGCACACTACTGTAATTCCAGCAGCTTGGGAGGCTGAGGCAGGAGAATCTCGAGTTCAAAGCCAGCCTCAGAAACTTAGTGACACCCTAAGCAACTCAGTGAGACCCTGTCTCAAAATAAAATGTGAAAAAGGCTGGGGATGTGGCTCAGCGGTTAAATGCCCCTGGGTTCAATCTCGGTACCAAAAATAAACAAAAAAGAATAGAGAAGAGTTTGGAGCAAATAGCTTTGAAGCCAAAAGGCTTTGATTTAAGTGGTTTCTGATCCCAACAGGCCAGCTCTCTCCAGGGCAGTCCCGATCCTCCTGCATTAATGAATGAAGCTGTTTTCTCAGCACTTCTGACAGGTACTCCAGAAAAGGGACTGACTTGCAAAYGTCTTTAGTCCAATCTCTTCTCAGGACACATGTGACTGTTTATTAACAGAAACATACAACAGGCTCCCATAAAAAGAAGCAAACTTTTCAGCTGCCATTTTAAAAAAGTGGCTTGACCCCGGAATAGAGATGCCTCAATACAGCCCTGCAAAGACCTGGCGAGTCACAGCGGCAGCAGTTAAAGGGGGGTGCCCAGGTCAGTCTACTGAGGACTGAAAGAAAATACCACAACTTCCCCACTGTTGACTTTATTTATTTATTTATTTTCAGTTGTAGATGGATACAATACCTTTATTTATTTTTTTAATGTGGTGCTGAGGTTTGAACCCAGTGCCTCATACATGCCAGGCAAGCACTTACCACTGAACCACAACCCCAGCCCCCTACTGTTGATTTTTAAACTCTTCACCTTATTTAACTTACAGTGTGTAAAATATATTATGAGTAGTACWTGTATGTAATATATATAGTTACATATACACAACGGAGGTTTATGCTCAAGTCTTTTTTATGATAGGGCTGCACAGGTCAGGAAGTCTAGAAAATATGATTTAGAGGATGATATGGGAAAGGGCTTTCCTTTCCTTTCTTCTTTCTTTCTTTCTTTTTTTTTCTTTTTTCTTTTTGGTGCTAGGGATTGAACCTCAGGTCTTGTGATGCTAAACCTCCAGCCCAAATGGGAAAGGCTTTCAATACTGATTATAYATCTGTAAGGGAACTACATGGGTATATATCCCATATAACAAAACAAAAGTCTTGGCACAGAGATGAAGGTCAACCAAACACAAAACCAGGCATCCTCATACCAAAGTTCTTAAAAGTCAGACACCAAAGTTATTAATAGCTAACACTTTTAGAATTTTATAAATGTAAATTACCGCCACCTTCATCACAAATATTTGCTTTTGGAGGTAAAATATAGCAATGCCATCAGTTTATAAATATTCAGACAATGTCAGCAGTTTTGGATATTGCCTGAAAACTTTTCCATAAGAAGAATATAATTGTGGACAAAACTCCAGCGCCACTTAAACAAAAATTGAATACCTCTTACCTCTAAAATCTGCCGTCCATATGTTTTTATTTGTTGGAGTTCAAGGCCCTGAATCTTCTTAGGGTTGCAGTATTTTTTTAAGAATGGGTCCTTTGGTTTTGCCTTTTGAAAAGAACAAAGAGCACATTAGAAAGTGTCAGAGGAGCCTATATCTGCACCTGAGCTTCCTGAACACGGAATAGCCTACAGACACTGGAGGTTCCAGAGACGGCCAGCCCACAGGATGTGGGTTTAAAAATATAAGAGTCTGTGTAGTGGATAGAAAGAGAATAACCTGGGTTCTGTCCCTTCTCTTTCCCAGGGATGATGTGCCTAGTCAAGGCCTTGTTAGTCCCCTGAACCCTGCATACTGTCAGGACTCTTCWGAACTGCTTGGTTACATTCTAGACAAACTTTAAAATTGACCCAAGCCTACAATGAAATGGATACAATCATTAAATGTCCTATCTTTCCTCGTGTGTGAAAAGAAATGCTCTTGGGGCTGGGGCTGGGGCTCTGTAGTAGAAYGCTTGCCCTGCACATGTGAGGCACTGGGTTCGATCCTCAGCACCACATAAAATAAATAAATTAGTAAAACAAAGGTACTGTGTCCATATTCAACTAAAAAAAATAAATAAATAAAAATAAAAGAAATACTCTTTTTAACCAAACTGTGTAGTCTTTCCAAATAAAAGGAAAACTAAAATAAAATCCTCAAGGCCTAGCTTCTGGAACCTTAGGTATCGAGTATTAATAATGAGATCTAAAGGAACTCAAAAGAACTTTGTAACCATGATCATATACATTTACCTTGTAAATCAGATCCTTCAAAGTTCCTTTTTCATTAAATGTCCTGATTAGCAGTGCAGAGGATTCATTAGCAGTGGCAAAGGTAACCCGATAGATGTAAGGGTGCTGCCAAAACAAAAAAGAAATTCATGTTGATTGGCATGAGAATCAGGGTCCAGGGCCTGTTTATGCAGAGTCAAGAGCCACCTTGGTAGTTTGGTTGCATATAAATGTGAGGATATTCCTGAACGGTGGTAGTTTCAAGTTATTTAGATGATCAACTAGTTCCTCTTCCTTCCAATGGGGGAAGGGACAGAGATGTTATTGACAAGAGGAAAGTGGATAATGAACATGGTGAACTCCACCTTGAAGGTATCTGCACTCTCTTAGTTCAGGCAAAAGCCTGGTGGAAGACAGGAAATGTGAGTTTGGGGAATATGGTTTTGATATTCTGCCTCTATAAATGGACAAAGAATACAGCCAAATCTCAGCACAACCGGAGTGGGACCAGGATCAATGTGCCTTTGCTCACAGGTTGGCCTGGTATTCCACGCTGCTGTTGGGGTGCCGAGCCAGGGAGCACAGCAGCCAGGAAATAAGCAAAAGCAGTATCGTTTGGCATCTTTGTTCCTTTCCAAAGCTGCTGGCATGGGTCACCCTGCTGTTCCATAGACATTTGCAATATGATGATTCACAGTGTCCTCCTCAGATGGGGACATTGACGTCAACCAAGTAGGGTGGGGAAAAGACAAATTATTTAATGACTGAGAGGAAAGTCCTCAAATAACCTCAAATTTTGGTTGCATGAACAAACTGGCTCCAGATTGGCATGACAATGCCCAACAGCTCACAAGAATTCCATGAAAATTTAAGACAGCAGGAGCTGAGCTGCCCAGGGCTAGAGGGTGGAGAGGCTGGGGAGGGTGGAAGGTTATGCCCAGAAAAATACAGTAATCAATCCTGAAAGTTTCTCCTGATCATCACATCAGCATGATGGCTGCTGACTTTTTAATAGCTTTATTGATACATAATTCACATGTCATTACATTCACCCTAACCATTCAATGGTTTTCAATATATTCAGTGGTAAGATATCACAATCTAATTATAGAACATATCCATCACCCCCAAAAGAAATTCAATGAAGTAGACAAAGGGGAATGGGGGGAGAGTGAGGGGACGGGAATGGGAAAGATATAGAATGAATTAGACATAACTCTTCTATGTTCATATGTGAATACATGATCAGTGCAATTTCACACCATGTATAACCTCAAGAATGGGATCCTAATTAGAATGTTAGACTCCATGCATGTATGATATGTCAAAATACACTCTATGTCATGTATATCTAAAAAGAATTTAGCCACCTCAGTGGTGTATGCCTGTAATCCCAGAGGCTCAGGAGGCTGAGACAGGAGGATCAAAGCCAGCCTCAGCAATGGTGAGGCCCTAAGTAACTCAGTGAGACCCTGTCTCTAAATAAAACACAAAATAGGGCTGGGGAAGTGGCTCAATGGCCCAGGGCCCCTGAATTCAATCCCTGGTACAAAAAAAAAAAAAAAAGAAAGAAAAAGAAAGAAAAATAGAAGATATAATAACTTTTTTCTGAATAAAAATAAAAGTTATGGGGCTGGGGATGTGGCTCAAGCGGTAGCGTGCTCGCCTGGCATGCGTGCAGCCCAGGGTTCGATCCTCAGCTCCACATAAAAACAAAGATGTTGTGTCCACCGAAAACTAAAAAAATAATAATAAATATTTTAAAAAAAAGTTATTACTAATATTAAAAAAAATTCAATGAAAAAGGCTGGGATATAGCTCAGCTGGTAAGAGTGTTTGCCTCACATGTACAAGGTCCTAGGTTCAATCCCCAGCACCACCAAATAAAAAGAAAAAAAAAATTCAATGAGTAAAATAAAAACCCTCGAGTCCATACTGATATGACTAAAAGGGCTGGAATATAGCTCAGTGGTAGGATGCTTGCTTAGCATGCATGAGGCCCTGGGTTTGATCCCCAGCACAGAAAGATTAAAAAGAAAAAAAGGAAAGCTCTTTCTTATGATCTAATAAATACAAAAGGAATGATGAATTAGAAATCACACTGAAAGCTAAAACTAGTAGATTTGATAAAGAACAGGATATTTCATGTAGTCTCAATCTATCTCCCAGAACATTATTTATTAATTCTAGGTATTTATCTTAAGAAAACAGTTCAGGATGGGCACAAATGTTTAGCTAAAATTGCTCATTGTGACTTCTTTTCTGTTTTTCTTAATCTAATAAGAGAAAAAAAAATTAAATACCTAAATGCCTGATTAGTTGAGTAAATTAGCCAATGAAAATTCTATGCAACCATTAATAATAATGTTGCATTGTATTTATTTAGATGATCATGTTTAMATGACTAAGGGAAGTTTTCAAACAACATGTAGCTGGTAAAGTGGTGCATGCCTGTAATTCTAGTGACTCAGGAGGCTGAGGCAGGAGGATYTCAAGTTTAAGACCATCCTGGGCAACTTAATGAGACCCTGATTCATAATAAAAAATAAAAAGGGCTGGGGATGTTGCCCAGTGGTATAGCACTCCTGGGTTCAATCCCCAGTACCAAAAACAAAACAAAACAAAAAAAGCAGTATGTATAAAATTTTCAAAAAGTCAAATAAAATTCTAAAACTGTAACAACTCAACATTTTGGTTCCTCCTTCTGGTTGGTTGGGATTACAGGCGAGTTTTATTTTCTTATTTTTGCTCATCTGTGTCTTATGGCTTCTCTACAATTAACATGTACCTCTTATATATGCTACTTTAAAAACAGAAAAAGTACAGCCCATTAAAATAAATTTAAAACTGAATGCAGACAGCATACCRTACAACCTGCCAAACTCAAGGCCACACCATTTTTCTTGGTCACACATGATACCTTGTTAAAAGCCTGGCCTTTTATAGCATGACAAGCCACTCTGTCTTCAAAAATGAATGTGTTAACTCAACTGAACAAGTCAGCATAATTTTGCTCAGCCATTAAGGAACTCCTACAACCTCATTGRGACAACAGATAAAGAACATCAACATTTACTCAATTTTCTGGCCAGATTAGTCTTTACTGAAGATATTCTCCAGCTATCTTGAAATATATCATTGTGATCCTTTCCAACAAAGGCTTTATATTAAACCTGTGCATTGCATAAGTAGTGCTAATGAAGGTCAACTAGTAAGCCTGTGAGAGTAGTAACAGACAACAAAATGGATATTCTGCCTTCTCTTCACCCAGCTTATTGAAATTCTGTCTTCTGGACTAGAAAGAGATCTTAAATTCCACTGATWCATACACCCTCACCAAGAAAAAGAGACTCAGAAGAGTGGTTGCTTTCCTAATCTAGTATCTGTTTAAAATACAAAGGCTAACCTGAGCATGGTGGCACACACCTGTAACCTCAGCCACTTGGGAGGCTGAGCCAGGAGGATTACAAGTGTGAGGCCAGCCTCAGCAACTTAGCAAGGCCATATCTCAAAATAAAGTGAAAAGGATTCAGGATGTAACCCAGTGATAAAATGCTCACCTCACATGTGTGGAGCCTAGGTCTAATTCCCAGCACTACAAAACCCAAAAAACTAATATAATTTAAGGTTATATTTAAATTATCATATTTCATGGGTTGTGCAGATGTCATGAGTGTCATTTCAAATGGTCTGTGATCCATGGGAGGAGCCCTGCACATTTTCCGTCAGGTATGAAATCCACCTCTCTCTCCATTCTCGAGCATTTCTGCTCTTCTCCTCATGTTCACACTCAACACTATGAGTCTGGGATCAGCCCTGAGAATAATAGAAGGACATGTACTCACCAAACAGGAAGGCAGGAGTTTGATTAGACACTGAAAATCTTTATCTGACAAGTACTTGTCTGGGCCAAGGTCAGCCTGAAAACATGGGAGGAAATATCAGTGTACAGTCTTGGTCATCAAAAGAAAAATTCCTTAAAAGTCTTTCCCTTTCATTTTATTTGTCCAAATAAATGGTAAATCAAAGATGACAACCAYGCTAACTCTTGTTGCCTCAAGGTCTTTCTGTCAAGGCAGTGTATAAACATACAAAAACCAGGATTTAACTGTGATCACATCTAATTCTACTGATCAAATGTATCACTTGAATGCCCAAAGTGAAAGACTGTAAGTAACCAGGTGTCTGGAGGCTGAGAAAGGAGGACAGCAAGTTCAAGGACAGCCTCAACAACTTAGCAAGACCATCTCAAAAAATTT